TGTAGGACTTTTTTGAAGGAAGATATAAACAATTTTCAATTTTTTGGGCATCCGAAACTTTTTGGAATTTGCTTTCAAACTTGAGGTGGATCGAAGCTGGTGCAAAAGCATAATGCCGTCTTATAGAGCTTGCTTTGCTCTATTGAATGGTATCCTGGTGCCTACTCAGAATGAGAATGCACGACTTGTCATAGTGCAAGCTGAAAAATGAAAAGACTTATGAGACAACTTAATACTTATGAGCCAAAACATGACTAGCTCTTATCGTATGTAATCTAGTTGTAAGAGCAAGCAGATCATTTTTATACTTTTTTGAGCAAAGACAAGGTCAATACGTCAATCTAACATAATGTATATGATCGATGCATTCATTAATCGCTGCAATTCGTCAAGCGCTTGTGAGAAAGAAGAAAGAAATTCCATCAAACCGATATCAGAAGAATCACTGTTGCAAAGTATTAGGTTGTGTAATAAGTTCGTTCGCATTTTTTATTTTAATTTTTATCTCAATACTTTACAAAGTATTTGACGAAGTGTTTGTGTGCCTTCGGAAGCTCTAAGCCTGCTCTACCAAACTACCATCATTATATTCTCAGCTTTTGAGAAATTGAATGAAAAATTTGATTGAAAACCGAAAAATCTGGGGGAGCGAAAATCCCATTTTCGACAACTCTGTTATGCTGGGTCTCAAATGGGATTGAACGCTTAAGAAACAGCTCGGAAATTTTGCGACGTGTATGATAAGAATATTGTAGCTTCCACAGATTACTAATGAGTGCTGTAATCTTCCAAAAATTCAAGCTGTAAGCTCAAAGATAGGTATTTTTTTTATGTCTTTTCGGCGTAAACGTTAAGCATCTGAAGACACCTTGATGGAAAGTGATAGCCGAACAATCTAGGAATTGGCAGGCAATGCGGTCTATGATTGTTAAACCATCGAATAAATGGATTACATATTCAAAAATTTAAAGTTTGGGAAACACACATCTTAAGTATGCGAAAAGACGAACGCCGCTGCGGCAGAGCCTTGCTACGCCAATTTCTGCAAAAATGGTATTAAACGGTCGGTGAAGGGAAGTGGGGAATCATACACAGTTTCAGTAGGTGCATAAGTGATTAGTCAGTTGTTCTTCCTGTTGTCAAGTCTTTTGAATAAGTTTTAACAACGAACAACGGGAAAACTATGAAAGAAAAAAGATGTCGAAAATGGATTTTTTGCCTTCTCAGATTTTTCAGTTTGTGGTCAAATTTTTTGTTCACCTTTTCGAGAATTGAAAATAAAATAATGGGATTTTGGTAGAACAGACTTAAAGCTTACGAACGCATGCTAACATTTTGCCAAACGCTTTGCAAAACATTGAGAAAAAATTGAAAGAAAAAATGCGAACGAACTTATTACACAACCTAATAGAATTCTATCCGCAGCTCCTTCAAAGCCAATGGAGACATCGAGAAGCAGTGTCTATGTCATTATCGTATTATCATCTTTCTTAACAAATGCTTGACTTTGAGCATCGTGAAGAATTTGAAGGAAATCTGCAGTAATGTCTCCATTTTACCAGACACAAGTAATTTGTATGTATAGAACCTCGAATGTAAGATTTTATGTTCGAGAGACGAGATTTGGCTTTACAACATGTCATGTGATCATTCTGCAGGTAGCTATCTCAGACAGTCGACGGCATACCTCCGGAGCAGAAATGGCATTGTCGTGGGCTTTCCCCAGCGTACGATTGCCACTTCGCGCTCCGGAGCCCTGCCATTTCACGCATTTTTGTGCTCCGGGGCTCTCCCAAAAGTGGCGCACCTCCGGAGCAGAGATTTGCGAGAATTCGCGGAGAGGGGTCCCATTCGTCCTATTTGTGACGTCACCGTAATGTCACGATGAATGAATGGGACCCCGTCCCCGCGAAGCGCAAATCTCTGCTCCGGAGGTGCGTCACTTTTGGGAGAGCCCCGGAGCACAAAAATGCGTGAAATGGCAGGGCTCTGGAGCGCGAAGTGGCAGACTCGCACCATATGCCCGCCGGAGGTATCCCTTCGACTGTCTGAGTATCGTACTAGCACATGCATTGTACTAGCAAAACATCATGACTGTATTTGCTAAGCATGCAAGAGAATTCTTCGCACTAGCATTCTATTATAAATATTATACCATTCAGTTTTCATGGTGCTACTGGCAGATGCGAGAAAATGTCGACTTTCGAGAATGATTCATAATCACTGGATCGGCGCTTACATAAAAAAATACTGCACACATCTATCTTGATCCTAACTGAGATAGGACGGAAGTGCCAATCTGTTTCTTACAATTTTCAGGTTCACTCAACTTTTTCTCTTCTTATATCAGAGTGCAACATAGAAAGTTTATATAGATTCAATCTCGCCGATCGAAACATTTCCAATTTTTGCCTCCTTAACTGGTATCATAACTCTTTAGCGAATTCCAAAGCCAGTTTCCTATATTACTATAGTACAACGTTCACTGCATGTTCATTTCTTCGCTGTGGTCCCCTCGTGCTTCATTTCAAGGCTGTCTTCAACAACTCTGCACAACGACAGATCAGGAATGTTCGCAGCCCTTTTCTTCATTTGATGATTCATTTTCTCTGGCGCTGCTTTGTTTTCGAGACATGAAAATAACGGAAAAGTAAAGACATCATTTGCATGAATGTTTTGCCACGTACACAAGCCTTTCTTAGCCAAGACTTTGCTTCCTAGTGGGACTTCCAGAAATGCATAACTAGATTCATTTTGTCTGATCCTATGTCATTCACGCCTTTGCCGTGTTTCCTCGAATACGATGGTAATGACTCTCTGAGCGTGAATAGCAGCTAGGCCAAGCATCTATTCGCAAAGCAGACCAAACTTTGCATAAAGCGAATCATTAAATGCCGAAGGCAACAACACAGGTGAAGGAATAGAAAAGTGAAGTTCTAGATTTGTTTCATGGCAAGTATTTTCAACTTTTGCGTCCTAGAAAAACAGGGAATTAAGAAAAGATGGATAAACGCGTATCGCGCTGCTCTCTCTGGCATTGTTCGTTGCCGCATCTTTTCGTTCGCTAAATTTTAGGTAGAAAAGCGAAAAAACATGCAGCTATCTTTATGAATTGTTATTCTTCAATGCTCAGTTTCAATCGTAAATTGCATGACACTACTCTCCATTCCCTTTCTTGTGATGCAGGCAACAATTTTAACTCGGTGATCGCTGTCAAATTAGAAGGGAAGGAGTATTTTCGTACAACCAATTTTCTTTGTTCTTTAAATAAACTTTCTTTAAATAGAAAAGCTAGCTCTTTATGTCATACTGTGATGTCTCATCGTCGTTTCTAGATAAGCGAATAGCAGAGCAACTTCCACAAAATTTTCATGTCTGATTGTAAGCATTCGCTATGCTACATCTTTTGAAAATTATAAAAATAAAATGTAATATGAGGAAATATAAAAATTAAATATAAAAATAAAAAATATGAATGAAAATAACTGAATTCAGGGCGGAAAAACAGAGTGTCAATTTCGTATTTTTTCTTTGCCCAAATCTCCAAGACTCAGATTTTCAATAATGAATTCACTTCAACGCTAGGGCTTCAAGTACATAGTTACTCATATTTAGTTGCGCACAATGGCAAAGGACTCTTTCCGTACTATGATCCCTTTTCATTATTCTTCGAGAACACAAAACACGTCTACGAAGTGGATGGACCTTGCCTGGATCGAGCCTTTCGCTCTTTTATAATGCTTGTTGCATGCCAAATTGAGATCCACTAGAGTATGCATAATGTACTAAAAGATTTCAAGAAATTTGGTTTCAGGCTCTTGAAAGCCCAAATTACCGAGTGGTCGCTGACTTAGATTGAATGGTTGTAGGGTCTCTCAAGTACAACAAATGCTTACCTTGCAGTGGCTTTCACTCCATCTAATTGTAAGATTTCGCTTTCACTTTGCTTCAGCACTTGTCCACCTATGCTGTCTCCATTTCTCCAAAAATCCTTCTGGGATTTATGTAAAATTCCTGCATTACAAAAAGACAAGTTCTAATTAGGATTGGTTGCTTTCCTTGTATTCTTGCAAAAGGTAACATTGCTTACCACGAAAAAAATTCAAGTGGATATTTCCCCATAAACCATATATTTTCGTAATATGTACGGTTGCACTTTATCGTGCACGCATGATCACGTTTCACTTCCAAGCCAGGCGTTTTCTCTTTTCGCAAGAATCTAAATTAGAGTTCACATCTTATTGTTGAGAATTTGAGAGCCGCTTTTGGTCCGATAACTTCTTCATGAAATTGGCAAAGCAGCTCTTAGTTTTCACTATCTATGTGGATTGCAAACTTGTAGATTAATCACTTCGTTTCATAGTGCTTTGTTCTCCACAAAACCTTTACTCGATTGCTTTCATTGAAGGATTGAGGGTAGATTGATGGTCCCAGTTAATTAACCATTCACAAGGAAAGCGTATATATGTATATGTTTTCATTCATTCACAAGGAAAGCGTATATATGTATATATTTTTTGGTAGCCACCAAAGTGGACCGCTTAGATATCACTTTCATTCGTTATCACGAAACATCTGTCGTTCATTGCTTCACCCAAAAAAATTAGTTACCCGAAAAAGCTGAACGTTGTCCTTGATCGGAATGGCATGTGATGAGTCTCATAAATCGCAAAAAATGCGAGTGCTAGAAACACTTTTTTTCCGGAGCAACGTGCATCGCTCAAAATCCTTTCCACAAGAAATGCATAGATAGGAAAGATCTCTGGAAAATATCGAAACATTACTGCAACGAACTTTCAGAGGTTTTTTTCGAAATGTTATTTTAATGAAGGTCACGCGATGGCTAGCAGTTCAGTAGGATGTATACTTTGGGAAGGGTATAGATCTATTCGCTTACCTCTTGGACTCCTCCTTCGCTCTCGATGCAAAGCTCCTGTCTCTTTCAAACCCTTCTCCCTCACTGTCTCATTGAAGATCGTCTTCCTTTAATAGTAAATCGACTGATGTTCGTACAAATATCGTTCACCTCCTCGATCAATTGCCTTTTCTCTCAGACGAGGTGTGCCCACGTCTGCATTTGCTGCGCAATGCTGTCCCGACATGCGATTCGTTTCTACTCGAAAGGATGTGCTGGTCTTCGTACTATACTCAAGAAGGAACTAGAGGGAATAAAGGTGAGTTAAAGATTACGATGTTTGGTAGATTAAGATTTGAGCCTTCGTTCTATGATCTGTCATTTTCAAACAATCTCTTGAACCCAAACGATAGTACAGATTACCATAAAACTGTTGCAGATATACCGCACATGAATCAGGATGGTCATTTACAGAATATAGAGTAGAACATTTGCTTTCCAGGCAGCTGGCACATATAAAAACGAACGCGTGATCATTGGGCCACAAGGAGTTACCGTTAAAGTTCAAGGTCTGGACAAGCCGGTTATCAACTTCTGTGCTAACAACTATCTGGGACTAAGCAGCCATCCTGAGGTAAACTTGAAGTTTCAAATTTCAGACCAAACTTTCCATTTTTTCTTACTTCTCATTAGACAATGGAAAGCAAGAAAAAAGCTGCAAATGTCGCACTGAAGAGAATTTGCTAACCGGTTCTTATCAGTTGGCAAAACGCCACAAAGAAGTAGCACCACTGAGTTGATCGTTTTCTCTCTACAGCTGCCGCTTTTTCAAAATTTCATTTCCCGCAGCTGAATTTCAATGGTTGCAAACGATTCTAAACGCATTTCTTACTTAGAGAGAGTGATTATGCCTCAAAGATTTATGAGTTGGACATAATCCAGGTCATCAAAGCTGGGCAGGAAGCGCTAAAAACTCATGGAGCTGGCCTATCATCTGTACGATTTATTTGTGGAACGCAGGACCTACATAAAGAGCTGGAGCAAAAAATTGCCAAAGTGAGGCTTAGAAAATTAGAAGAGGCTTTTAGAAAATATTGTGCAAATACTAAATTTGGGCTTTTGTAGTTTCACGGTATGGAAGATGCTATTTTATATGCAGCTTGCTTTGATGCAAATGGAGGCATATTCGAGCAGCTTGCCAGTAAGTTGCAAGATTTGTTTAGTAGGCTAAAAACAAGTTATGATAGTTTTTTCAATTTTCAAGGCCTCGAGACTATCCGAAAGTTTTTTCAACTTTCAAGGCCTCGAGACTATCCGAACGAGTCAAAAATTGACTTATGTGCATGCAAAACACAAACCTTCTCACAACTCTTCAAAGTTTTTCAACGTAGTCAACTACTATCCGCTTTGAAGGGGTAGAAAATTCAAGATTAGATACGTAAGACACATCTCGAAAATTAGAAACAAAATGAATATAAAACAAAAAACAATTGTCAAAGTCCAGTTTAATGGCAACAAAAAAGTAAAAATATAGATTCTGCTCAAGCAAACATTGCTAAGAGAGTGTATCAATGGTGTTTCCACCAAATTTCATTTTACTGGCAGCGAAAATGGCTTTATTGCATTCTAGATCTGATCAAATTTCTCCAGTCATCATGCTGTGTTGCTGCGAGTAAAATAATGGAGTTTCAAAGTTGAACATGGACTTCTATTTTCATTACAAAATGAATTACACTTGTACAGCAGTGCAATTTTTTATGATTAGTGCGCGCTTTCGAAATAAATTGTTACGATGACATTGTTAAGACATAATGTGATGTGTCGTGATGTATCACTAATCAAAAAGACAAATAGGTGCTGATCTTTGATTTACTACAGCGCTTGTTCATCACGGTTTTTCAAAGGGCATGATCTTGCAAAATAGGGAAAATCATCAATTAAAACTTTTTTGCTTTATTCCTCCACTGTACCAAATACTTTTGCTTTTATGTGAACAAATTTCCAACTTCTCCTTGCTACAGGTCCCGACGATGTCATCATATCTGACGAATTGAATCATGCTTCGATTATTGACGGAATTCGATTATGTAAGGCAAAGAAGCTTCGTTACAAACATATGGATGTAAACGACTTGGAGGAAAAGCTGAAGGAAAATCAAGGTGAAATTCTTTCTTGTACTGTTGATGGTTTCACATTAATTCGTATTCCTGCTTTGCACTATCAGACTGTCTTTCGTCTTACTTGGGCAAGGCTAGAAAAGAGAAAGAATTTCTCAATGCATGGCATAAAGGTTTCAGAGTATAGATTTGTTGTTGACACTTGACTGCTGGGCGAACTCTGCCTATGTAGATTGCTAAAAAAGCAAATTTTTGGGAGAAAAAATGTAGCAAGAAATGGAATCTATTTTTTGGGGAGAAACTAGTTGTGAAATTCTTCAATCCAAAGATTGAACAGTACAGTTTTTATCTACAGATGCCCGTCAAAGAGTTATTGTTACCGATGGAGTGTTTTCGATGGATGGCGATGTAGCGCCATTAAAAGAAATATGTGATCTGGCAGATAAGTAGGTTTTGCGAAAAATGTAAACATTCGTTTGCAAAAACTTTTTATGCAGGTACAATGCTATCGTATTTATGGATGAATGTCATGCTAGTGGATTTTTCGGACCAACTGGGAGAGGAACACAAGAAGCATTGGGTTAGCTAGGCGGCTAGGGCTTGCAAAAAGTCATGTTCCGAAGCTACGAACTGAGTAATTTAGGATTGTCTGGAAGAGTGGATATTATCAACTCAACCCTTGGGAAAGCTTTGGGAGGATCAATGGGAGGTTACACCACCGGTATGTTGAATAAATGATGCTTGCTTGTAAGAAACCTGGTTAAATAGCATCTGCTTCTTCAAATCAAGTGTTGCAAGATCAGGAAAATTCCATTGCTTGACAGACATTCTTTATCACCAGTTATCACCAATTGCGCCATCTTTGGAAGTTGTGGATACCATGATACAGCATTCAAAAATTTCCTGACTCATCGATAATCACAATCTTTCAGTCAGTCATTGCTTCTGAAGAAGCATTCTAGCCCACCCTAGACTTTAACCTACTTCCGATCTAATTACTTGATTGGTGAATTTTATTTTCGAAACCTCAGTAGACTTGTATGCTTATCAGATTTACCCTCTTTGCAAAGTATGTCTCGGTAAAAGCATACTTGATACCGAAAAGGTGATGAAATCAGATTCGTCAGTCTTCTGGTCTAGCATGCCCTCAACTTTTTTGTAATCCTTGTTTTTGGCACAGATGTCAAGATTCACCAATATTGGGCACTCGCAACTGAAAGACGTTTTCACTTTAAAACTCTTCATACAAAAATCTTTTTTACTTGAGGTTACCCTTTCTTAAGGACCAAAGGAACTCATTGACCTTCTACGGCAACGATCGAGGCCTTACCTGTTCTCCAACTCACTAGCACCCAGTATTGTTGGATCTAGCATCAAGGTAGACTCTCAGTTGCTTTCTTGGACAACTTCAATTGGCCTTTTAGGTGTTTGACCTTCTCATGAACGATCCTTCCTTCATTGGTTCGCTGAACTCGAATGTACAACGATTCAGGTGTCGTACATTTCGCTTAACTTTCGACTTCAAAATAAAAATTTTCTCAGAACCAACATGACGAATCTTGGTTTCAAGATCCTCGGCAACGATCCGACCCATCCTATTTGTCCCGTTCTTCTTGGTGATGCAAGGTATGGACTTGATTTGCCCTTATTGTTAACGCTCTGTTTTTCTTTACAGGCTCGCGTCGGAGATGGCAGATGCTTTGCTAAAGAAAGGCATCTATGTGATTGGTTTCAGCTATCCAGTAGTTCCCACTGGAAAAGCCAGGATTAGAGTACAGGTAATTCAATAAAGGATTGAGTCATTTTGAAAATTTTGCATGCCCACTGAGTGCCCAATTCGCCGAAATAAGTATTCCTAGATAATCTAGGTTACTCGAAATCTTCATCCTTTCTCTGACGATTACGCAAGTTGAGATCTTCGTACTTTTTCCTCAGAAGTTATGGAGTTCTTAGCTGACTACCTCAATCACGTTTGAGTTCAACCTTTTTATAAAAAAAAACAAAAATGGAGCAAAACTAGTACACTTTTTCGGCTTTTCTAGCTATTTTTCCCAAAGACCCCCTCGCCTTTTTTTCGCACGAAGTCAGCCTACGGTATCCAATATCTCAGAAAGCACATTTAAGCAAAAAAATCTCGACAGCGTTGGGCGCCTCAGAACTAGGAGTTTGAGAATTGAGCTGCAGTCAATCACACGTTGCAAAAACCATACTTTATGTAAAGATGATTTTTTCTTGCAAAATAGCTAAAAGATGAAAAAATCTGTAATAAGATTCTTATCCTGTTGTTTTTCTCTACCCAACATCATCTCGAGCGCCTTCTCGGGACCAGTATTGCAAATTGGGAAATTTGCTAGACACGACCACAGCGAAAATCGTGATTTGCAGGACGTGAGGATCTTTTTAGAGCTCAATGCTTAAATTGCAATGTGAAAATGACCATTTGAAGGATTTGAGAAGCTGTTTCGAATGCTTTCAGAATCCTGCAAGAATCTTCGTTTTACGGGATGTGTTCGTAGGGAGCAAATTTACTTTAGGAATGATCTAATATTCAGTACAGAATCAAAAACATGGAACTCTTAGACACATATTAGCGGTTAAGAGCCGTTGCTCAAGTAGAACTCAGTTTCTACACAATTTTCTGTTACAGATTTCTGCAGCACACACCCAGGAACAAATCGACCTCGCAGTTGATGCTTTCAAGGAAGTCGGCAAAAAACTCGGTGTTATCTAATTGTTATTGTTGTTATCGCACCCGTCGCAAGCAACTTAAAAAAGGTTTCAAAGCTTAGCGTGTTTTGTTCCAAAAAGACTACCATATTTATCGACGCTTAGGCAGGCCCTATACTCCTCGACGAGTATAGCATGGCGACTGTGTCTTCCATGCGTATCGATCGCTAACAAGTTACCACACGTCCAATCGATACATATTCAATGTGTAGTCGCCAACACTGGCGACTGGCGATCGCCAATATCGGCGACTACACGCTTGATACGTATCGATTTGACGTGTGGTAACTTGTTTGGCGATTGGCGATCGCCAGTCGTCAATATCGGCGACAAAAATCGCCGGTTTTACACGCATTTGATGCATATCGATCGTCGCCATGCTATACTCCTCGAGGAGTATAGCGCCTGCCTTACAGAAGCAAATACCGTTATTTTTACGTCTTACTTGGTTTTTTCCTCATATCAAACTGGTCGGAAAAGCACAGTGCCACGTCTTTTCCGTTAAACTTAATAACGTGAATGCTAACTGAGTGTTATTTTACATGGCGGCTAAACCTAGATGAGCGGGGCTTCATTGGTGATTTTGTAAACAAACTTCGTCCAACTCTCAAAAGATTTGATGCAGTACCTGACGAAAAAAGAACTTCCTTCCATTCTTAGTTCCATCTTTGTGGCGATGTCTTTAACAAAAAAAAAATCAATCTCCAGTTGGAACGATCTATAGCAGTTGACTTTTGAAGCAGCCGTGAAACGTATTGGACAAACCCACACCTAATAGACATGCACATCTGCTCATCGTCAGGCTGGTACATGACTATAGGCGAAGTTCAAAATAATGATAAAATAAGTAACTGGCTTGTTTATAGCGCAGAGAAAGATGTGTAGCTTCCAACTATATTATTTGAAAAGGTTTGAAAACTTGCGTGTCGCAATACATGTTTTTGGTAATGGTATCTAGACCGTCACCAAACCAACTGGGTTGATTTGGAACATTAACCTCGGAAAGTTTACAAAATTTTGGATCTTTCTTGCTTGGACTCATTGAGTCAAAAATCTACAGTACCGTTGGTGCATTGAGATCTGCAAAACAAATGCGATCTCGCGTCGGAAGAGCCCTTTCAATGCAACTCTTCTAAAGTCACTTTTCAAGAAAGTAAGACATATAATCTAGAAGAGCTCATTTTACACTATCAGAAAACGCGCAAAACTTTTGCGAAACACATGTCCTTCATCAGATAAACCCGTCCGCAGATAAGTCAGAATTATGACAATCTCCGGACTTATCTGACAAGAATTTAGGGTAGTTATAATATAATGGAAGAAAACGGACTTGTAGGGCGAACTTATTTGAAGGGCGTTATCTGGGTCGAAAAAGCGGACTTATCTTTGAGATTTCAGGGTAGTTAGTTGAGTGTATCTGACGCCGTTCACGATCTTGGATTTTGCCAGCTCATAATTGACTTAAGCTTGAGGTCACCTGATAAGAGCAGGTTTTGGATATATTTTTCAAGGAGCTGTTTACGAACATATGTGTTTCTCTGTAAAAATCTTACCTTAAGAAGAGTTACACCGAATGGCGCTTTCGAAGCAACATCGCTTTGCTTCGTAAGTTAACGGCGGCACCGACTACCTATCATTCAGTGAGGGAGCCAAATCATTATCTTTCTTTATATATGGGTTGTAATTAGATCTGCTTTGAGATCGAAATTTCCGTACAACCTGATAAGCAGTAAGCTGTGATGGACACTGGGTTCCAGTCCACAACTGAGCGAAAATTTCAGAGACGTTAGGGGTGAAACAAGACTTCTGGTAGTCATTTTTTCCTATCATTCTATAGTGCAGGTAAAGGCGCAGAGAGAATGATTGTCATTGCTTCAAATGTTCCTTTGTGACTTTGTTAAGCTAACTTTTGAACTGTTCTTGCTTAAACATGCCATTGACCGCAGCTCCGCATTAGATGCTATTCTTACATCGTATCTAATTTTTGTAGCCTTCATCTCATTTCGCAAAGAAGGTTTTGGAATAATTGTGCGATGCCACGGGAACTCCGTTTTTAAACTGTATGAAGCCAATACTGCCGGGCCTTGACAACAGACGTGATAGAAAGCTTGAAAGAATAGATGGTAGTGGACGATGCAAAGAAAACGAGAAAGAACGCAAACATAAGGTCCACTCGAATATATGCAGCGAACTTAACCTCACTAGCACCATTTCTGCAATTTGGAACACTCGCAGAAAACGGATAACGCCCGGGACCACCACTTTTGGGCGACAATTAGTCCTCCACCCTAAGGTGGCCTTTCCCGCTCTATCAGTAGCTTTGAGCAACGTTTGCTTTGGCTACGTATCAAGCAATCTTGGATTAAAAACCTTTGAACTCCTATCTCATTGGACGATAGATCTCCTACTGGAACTGGGGGGTGGAAATCAACACACTTGAATGAAGAGACAGACAACTAATAATTAATCACATAAACGCCAATCAAGCTTGATTTCAAGGAACAAGTAAGAGTAACTGCCACTTTATTACTCCTCAACGATGACACATCTGCGTAGCTCGTCTTGAGAGATCACTGACTACCGCAGCGCTTTTCTTCTCTTACTACTTGATAGTTTAGTTACAAGCTCAAATATTGATATTTGATCTGGACATCTTTTGCGAGGGCAAAATTTTCGTTTTAGTTTCCATGACAGTAGGTAACCTTGAGTCCTCTAGTTTTATTTTTTGCGCAAATCTAAGTGTCATTTCAACAAAAACACACACTGTTCTGGATTACCATCGAACATACTCATTCAGAATTCACTACCAGCTCTAAAACTACACACGTTGTAGCTAAGGTGGTTTCGAATAGAGGTTTTGGTTTCCTGCTGTAAATTTCAAAAGTGAAAGCTTCGTGCTATGGACCTCTTTTAGACACTCTCCTCTCTAGGGTTCAACTAAGGCTTTTCTGTAAATGGAAGTGCTAGACTAGGCATCAAAAATGAGACACGCATGATCTCATGATTGAAAATTGAGTTACCTCATTGAAAATGAGCGCTAAACCCAGAATGCTACACGTTGATTTCAAAATCGAAAAATATGTTTCCCATTATTTGATAAGTTCAAAGTTATGCTCTGTTAATGCCTTCCAAATAGCTTGGCATTGGTGCTGTAAGTTTACTATATTACTGAAGATTTTAGATGTTTTGAGCTTAGGACAAGACTCAAAAGCTTCATGTAAAAAAAAAGGCTTTGTTGCATTTTAGCTCCGAAGAACAGTTGTAAGGAATGGAGCGAGAGAGAAAGCAGCTGACGAAGATAATGTCGATTGTCGACAAGTTGCAAGGTTTATCTCCATTCATCAGGGCTTTGCAGTGCAGCACGCTTGACAACAAATTGAACAAAGTAATTCTTCATTTTTGGAAAGTTTAAAGCGCAGTAGACACTCAAAAGGTCCAAGAGTGAAAACAAAAAATAGAACCACTGGGCCCTTCAAAAAAAGATATTTACGAAGTGATAGCCTTCTTCAAAACGCTGGTCTTTGGAACGCACTATTACTCTTGTTTCTGTATTACAGTCCTCGCTTCACGAAAAAAGTATTCATTGATTGATGAATCTTAAGTTTAGTACCATTGAATGCATAAGTACCAAGAAAAGCTCGCACAACATCATAATCTGATCGCTCCTCTTTCCTGATCTCAATTTTTGACAAGATTTTTCACTATTCATTGTATAGCTAGACACGCTACTTATTGTTAAACTCTATTAGCTTTACCTTCTTTTCGCATATTCAATTTACCAGCCCTACTTCTGAAAGTCCCTCATAAATTTTCATTCATATGCGGAGTATACGCGAATACTCTTCGACTTTAATCATTTAATTACGATAACAAGCTTCAAGTTTGAAATTTACCGCTCGCGACAGAGTTAATGACCAAAGAGGAAGTCCATATCTCCATATGTCCATATGTCCATATGTCAACTAAACAACAATCTTTTCCGCAGGTTACACACTCTTAGCTTCTGTCTTTTTCCTTTGAAATGTTGTAGGCTTCCTTCCCTCACATATAAAAATTTATCAATTTGGTCATGTTTCCGGAAGTCATACGTATTTTCACAATCAGTATCATACATCCCTGTTGTGATTAAAAATCGAGCTGACCAGATGATCGGGACTCACGATTGTGAATTCTGTCAATTTCTGTCAAGGTATTGCGGTTAGTCCTAAAATTCTACGGAGACGAAGAGAGCTGCATTCTGCTTATTTTGCTACACTCTCATTATACAGGTTGTGTCATAATTACTGCCTTGTGTATTCCCAAGTACCAAAAAAAGATGAAAAAACATTGAAACTGGCTCCACATGAATCATACTTCATTAGTTTTGCTAATTGTGTAGCTAAATGCCATTTTCTGGCGAAATTTGTCGGAAAGCATTTAATCTTGTAGTTTTGACTGCGCTTTTGCTTTTCCAAGGATTGGATGTTTGACTGTAATTGAAGAGATCTTTGACTAAGTAGGAATCTGATGTGGTTTAACTTTTCAGACACTCAAGGCGAAATTGCCGAAACGTCAGTCTGTCTTTGCAATAAATATTGTATTAATCTGGTTATACAGCTGAACAAAAAATCACGACAAAATTCGGAGAAGTTTTGAAAAAATAAAGATTGTATTCTTTACTCAACACATGTATACACCAATCTACAACACATAATTTGAGAATGGGGAAGATTTTTCGAGGAAGTTATGAAGATTATTTCAGCGTTGAGTGTGGCAAAACTTATATAACGGCCTAGCAATCCTGCTGTTTCTTTGACGTATGCCAGGTATCGCCTTTGATTTGTTGCTCTCATTTGCGCAGCCTTCAAAAAGTGGCGTATATCAGGTGATGACTGCTGTAAGCCATCTCATCACTCAAAGTGACGTAGGCTATTATTAGGGATATATGAGTCACGACGAGGTCTCTTTACAAGCTCATGATCTGCTTTTGCATCTCTATTTTGCTCCTGAGTTTTCATAGAAGGCATATTGGATTGAAACATGCTTGATCGACTTTGAAAAAGAATGCGAAATGTTTACATAACACTCCAATGATTTTGTTAAGACGTTAAATTTGCAGCGCAGCAATCTATGTATGAGATTAACAAGCTCACAACTATGAGCGATAGACAATCATAGCAGCCTGCTAGTTGTATGCTTCAGATATTCTCTTCTTGAACGCTTGTTGATGGAAAATTATCTATCTTTCCACCCTACTCAGACATACTCAAAACCATACACAGTTTTCTGGTGCCTATTTTAGCTCGATTTCCATTTTACCGCAGCTGTCTGATTACGATACCTGCTTCTAAATTTGCGATGGTGTTTGAAACCCAAAACTAACCAGTGATTAGCTTCTAAGTATATTGCGAGCGTCAAAATATGTAGTTTTCTAACTCGTCACATTTACTTCCGTCCCTTAGATAACGGTAGGTTCAAAACAATGTTCACAACTACGTTGAGTTGCGTATCGAACGTGATCTTGTTGTACCTTATCTTCTATCAGTAGTGCGTAATGTATGAAAACTTGGCTGGTGAGCTCATCTAAATGGCATCACTTTTGAATAGCCTTAACATCGCAGCAATTGTAACTAACGAATGCCACAGTACATCTCGAATTCCCATATTCTTGCGTACAGTTTTCATGTTACCAGTATTGGCAAGTCATCTGCAACTGCAAACTCTCTTCCAAATAAGATGTGCAAAACGCCTACAAGTTTTTTTTTACAAAGAAGTGCCTAAGTTTCAACATTTTGTTTATTTCAGTGACTTTTTGCGTTCGGAAGCGTCCCAAGTTTTCAATTCTAGTCGGTGAACATAAGCATTGTGCCACAGGGACACGCTCTTCAACTGATTTAGGTGAACACTAATTGAGCTTGTTAAAGGCACCGTCTCCACCCAGATTCTCGACTTCCAGTTTTTGTCGTTCCGGGTCCTTCTCTTGTCCCAATATGAAGTCGAGAATCCAAGAAAACCCGACACTCCCCGTTCCGGAGAACCCACAGGCCGATTTCCGGAACGGTGATTGGATGAGCACGCACGATGAGCGGGCATCACTGGAGGGGGGGGGGGAGAGGGGTGCCGACTTGGGGTCCTCATGCATCGTCGCTATTCCGAAGAACATTTCTCGCTTCAAGCGACATTTTGCGCCGCGGCTTAGGCAACGGCTTATAAGGGGTTCTACTACCATAAGCTGTCAAAAGCTTAAGACCCTTAAGTTAGGGTGGACGGTGCCCTCAAGATTGGTAAGATTGGTAGCTTCTTGTATTATTCAAGAGTCAAGTCAATGTGTGCGCATTTTTACAGTGATTTTTCGGCCTCTCGTCTCGCTTGGATGATGCTTCATAATGCCAGAAGAATGATTCAGTTATAGAGTGTCAGAGGATGGAAGGAAGTTTACCTACCTAGTTTACCTAGTATATAGCTCACTAAAATTAGTATGGTTATTTGAAGCAAGTCTGAAAGGCCTACACATGGAAGTCTCTAGTTTGCAACCACTCCAACTTCAAAAACAGAAAGACCAATTATCTGTCTCAAAATAGCACCTGATCAAACGAAGTATTGGTATTTGGAAAATAATAAAAAAAGTTAAGAAACATTCATGAGGGAATGATGAAAGCCGTTCACACTTAGCGCAGAGGTCCGCTATCCCGGAGATTGATTGTGCTTGCACAGATAACTTTGAAAGATTACGAGTTTTGTGTTGCGAGAATTTTGAGAGAAAATTGAAATCCGAAAAATTGTGTAGGGTTTTCAAGCATGCTGATTTCAATACGCAACTTTTCACAGGATTTTCATGCTTTTTTAGCGGCCTAATCACATTTTTGAAGAGCATGGCGAGAGCATTTGTCGCTCTTTTCTTGAAATAACTTACTAAAGAAGCATGAGCGTGGTGTGCAAATTTCACGTCTAAGATCTGCAACTCTGCTCAGCTTGATATGAGGTTTTTGGTTTCTTTAGCATTTTTTCTGAGGCAAAATGCCAAAATGATTCAACAACATAAAACCCTCTTCAAGGTCCCTACCGCAATCCTACAATAAGAAAGAAAAATCGAAGATTCGCTCCATACCGTGAATCTAAGTTGAAGCTAGCTCTACAGAACGGACTTGAAGTTCGACAAGAAACATTGAAAGACGAGAATTATCAAAGATCAAACAGTGTGCACATTTTTGGGACACCCTGTATATATATCGTACATTAATCCAATCTTTTGTAGCATTGCTTGGATTGCTAGAACAAAAGTCTCATGTAGAAAACCACTGCCTGCATATTATGAAGAAAATACATGTCCGTGATTGCATACAGTAATAAAGTTAAGATTGTTAATACACTCTCGTTGTGTATTTTATTTTTAACCCCTCGTTCAAGTACTCTGTGCATTTTAGAGCCCAATTTTATTTTTAAAAATTTCGGAAACAACTGCGTTGAATGAATACTGCAATTATTATATTTTCGCTGGCTATCAAGGCGATTCCTTTTGTATTACATGTTGTATTGTTGACCATATTGCTTTCTAATAAGAAAAGATATCTTTCTGTGAGTTTACATAAGCTTAATAGACTCCTCATGATAAAAAATAATAAGATTTCAGAGCTCCTTTTATAGCTTAATCTGCATACTCAGCGTCACAATAATTATTGAAACTTTCCTATCAATGTTGTCGCACATTGATAATGAAGCATTACCCGGCTATGTGAGCATATTTATGCACTTTGTAGAGTGCCTGACAGATTCTTACACGCCATGCATCATATTTACCATCGGACTCAATCATTTAGCGATTTTTACAAAAGGTCCGCTGCACATGTTTCTTTATAAGATGTAAGTCTGCAAGCTATTCTTTGATTCATTATGCTTGATCTTAACTTCAGGAGGAATCTCATGTATATTGCACTCTTCTTTCTGTTGTTGGCTATTATATGGAGCCTGATCGTGGCAAGTATGCCATACACTGCCTTATCGATGACAATGAAAGCAGAGTTTAACGAAATTTACGACGTAAGCTTGAGCAACTTCGCTTTTTGAACACTTTAGGTTGCGTTGCACTATTTAGCATGGCTAGGCATTCAATGTAAAAAGTCACAATACCAGTGCGCAGCAACTAGTCCAAGCAAATTTACTAGACGCTCTTCTGAACAGCTCCTCATAGCAGAACAGAATACATGTGATTGACCAGTGACAGCTGTGATAGATAGGCCTATTAAGAGGGCTAGGTCGGCAAACCTGGGGCGATTTTTATCAATTTTTCATTCGGGCAATGGGTAACGATATAAGCAACTGCCTGTTCGTGCGCTTTTATAACGATGAAACAAGGCCCGATCAGAAATTGGGAGAATGATTAATACCGAGCCCGATACGCACACACAACAGGTCTGGAGCAGACCGCTTAGAATACCTCCACTCAGCCTCAACTCAGGCTTATATGATAAAGACGTTCACAAGTTTTGCTAGGTCAGAAAGAGCAGATAAGAAAACCTTTGATACCTGTTGCTCCAATTTTTGCTGCAACAGATTTTTTATGACCTTGCACAGAAAATTTAGATCCAATTAATCTTCTACCACTCCTATCTATGCAGTATGTTAATTAGTAAGCCCTTGGAAATTATTATTAAGAACATGATTTACTCCTCCAAAAAATAAAAGCAATCAAATCGATTGGGAAAAACAGAAGTTATGAATTTTGAAAATGGTGCGAACATACTTCTAAGACTACCTAATACATTCCGAAAAGGGAGCAATTAGCCTCCGCTTCGTCTGCTGTCGACAAGTATTCTTACAGAGAGGGCTTACAACTCTACTGGCAGCAAACTTCTCTTATATTCGTATATACTTGTTTATAGAAGTTACACTCAGGTTGTCGACTGCATATTCCACTTATTACCTGTGATATCTTTCACATTCTATGTGATAGTGCTTATCAAGATGCGATCATCACACTCCATAATCATGATAGACACCACATCAAGAAATAATTTCATGAGAGCGGAACGAATCAACCTAGCGAATGGATTCGTACTTTTGGTCGCTTACACGGTATGATAAATAATAACTCCAGCAGCATAGTCTCCTCGTCCCCAATTTTTTGTTATAATCATAAAAATCACATTACAAGTCATTTTTTTAGTTTTCAATCGTGATCGACTTTATGGATTACATTGTGGATTGGCCTACTCAAGACAACTACATTCTCAATGAGTTTGCAGAAGCTGTTACAGGTTTTGTGACACCTATCATGGTATTCCTCTGCTCTGGTAAATTTCGTGGTGATTTAGTGAAATTTTTTACCCATCAGCATAGCGAGATATCATCAAGGTTTAATGTGGCATGATAATGTCAGTATTATCTGTTATGCGCCTTATTTCATAAATGATTTTCAGTGATGTATTTGATCTCGAGACTTGCTTTGTTCAAAGTGAATTGTACGATATATGGGGAATAGTTTAAGGTGCATCTGCTCTTCGCTATCTCCCATTAACACTATCAAAATGGAACATTTTATTTCATTTTTGAGCTTCTTACGTCACATTTAAGAGAGTATTGAAAAATCGATAGAGGTTTCTATGCTTTATTCATTAAAAAAACTTCTAGTTTCGGCAAATACCGCCAAACATGTAGAAATTCCTTTTGAGAAAGTTTGTACGCTTATGATGATAATTGCACTTTTTTGATTTTTGAGTAAACGTTTACCAAAAAGAGCGTTAACACCAAAATTTCGGCTTCCATGCTATCACTCGGACTTTACCATAACCCTGATTTCGGATATGAGGTGCAAATTGCTTGAAAGTTTTCCAAAACTCCCTTTATACGAGTGCTTCTTATAAGGAAAGGATACCTTTGTCTAAGCGGTGGCGTTTCCATATGAAATGTATATTGTCTCAAAGAGCACGAACGCTGTTTTCAAATTTGCTTACGGTGCCCGCAAAGCGCTTCTGGGAAGGGAAACAAGTAATTTTTGATGCAAAATCTTGGACGCGCCGCCACCATAAAATTCAGAACTGCAATCCTTGAGCTTAAATGGGGCTATGATTGCTTCCAGGGAGCTTTATGCAATAAATACCTTCAATCTAATGTATACATGCCAGTCATTACTTGTTTCAAGTGCCGAGAATACCTCTACAAATGTTTTACCTTATCCAAATCCTTGAGTTTCTACATGAAAAAATTCCCTCAACCCTCTCCTGGAAGCGTTTTGCAGAAAAAGAAAGCAGATTTGGAATCAGCGTTCCATGCTCTATAGGATGATGTATTCATATGGAAACGCCACTTCGATTAGTATCGTTTCCTTGTTGGTAGTCCAGTCGTTGGCAACAGAATGCTCATTGCGAGCGACACTACCAGGCTGCACACTATGCATTATGGCCAGGGTTGAGCTTAAGGTCAGGCGTGCCCGACCTGGGGGTCGTATTGGGGGTAAGATGAGGGGAAGGGGTCGTATTCAAGACGAATTTGTTCGCAAAATGGAGGGATGCTACGATTGAGTGAAGTGAAGAAGAAGAGCGCTAGACCAGTGAATATCATTCCACCGGAGAGGGAATGACTGTCGTTAATTGCATATGGGTTGACTCCACTAACGAAGTTTGCCAACAGTAACGTCACCAAAGAGGCTTGCTGTGTATAAGGGGATGACCTCCGTAATCAGCATGCCAAATTACCTATACGAGCTCTACAAACCACTACCTATCACATTTTCTAGTGTCTAACGTCTAGGAAGCGTAATTTTCAAAGATGATTAACTTGGTCACAAAAGTAAAACAAGTCTGCTTTCTTGTGCTCAAAACGAAGTGATACTCTTTATCAGTCTTTGGTAGAAATTACGTCTCCTACTGCTTTATTTCGATCACCGCATTTTTCACCTGGAGTGCTTCATCTCTACCGATCACCACGAAGCCGGAACAAGCCCAAGTAAGCTCAAACAACTGGTATAGAATCTTCGACGTTTGTGCTAGCGAAACCCATAAAAGTAGCGTGGAAAAGTTTCTTCGGTGGTAAAGTTAACCGGTCAGCGCAAGCCCTCAAAAGCTCAGGCCGCCTGTGCTTTTGTAGCCTTCCGCCTGACCCCCTTAATATGTCTTCAAAATCCAGAAATCGCCCCATTTCTAATATGAGCATTGACCTCATAGCTCCTTCATGTTATAGTGAAAACTTGGACCCAAATACCCCAGCCTTAAAGAAATTATGGTCCTTGCAATAATCCCATTCAGATCAAAATCTAACGTCAAATTACGTGTGATTGTAAAGTGTGAAAATCGCGCGTACAGATCAAAAATCCAGAAACTCCTTGGAAAACGATGGTGTCCTCCAGAATGTCGCTTGAGGTTTCTGAGGTGAAAAGGAGGAAGAAGGGGGTTGTTTGGGGCTTTCATAGGGGGAGAGTCGTTTTCGAAAGACTTGTGCCTGACCTCTCGCTCAACTCTGATTATGGTTGTTATTGCCTTGTCAGAGCGCTATACAGTCCTAAATTAGCAGAGTCCTAAAAAGAAAACGGAGCTCTAAGGGCTGACCATTAGATAGCAGCATGTCAAAAATGCATCCCTGAGATGTATAACTTTTTCTTCGATACATAAGAAAAAATGTGGATTCACTTTTCAGCACGTGTTAGAGATACGCAGAACTCGAGAGCTTATCTGTTGGACGAAGACTAGGTTTCAAACAAGTTGCTTCTGTTCAGAGTCTAAATAAGGAAATTCTAAACTTATAAGAGAAAAGTATTTACAAGAGTATTGAACCGGTCCAACAAAATAATGGACGTTGATGAGTCTTTATACAATTTCCTCCTGCAACCATATTCCTTGGAAAGTGCTGTGCACTCGTGAGATTCTCTCAAGTCGAGGACATAGCTCTACATTTGTTTGCAAGACGTAATTTTTTTCTTTCATATTTTGATACATATGAGAAAAGACGAGATGTAAAAAAGATGAAGGCTTAACGATATTCCAGAAGCGTGATGCATGCTGTATCGAAGTACAAAAGTTGTTTGAGATTGATTTTCACGAAAGCTATTTGAGCTAATCGGAGCTTCGAAGCTTTGAAATTTTACTGGAGGAGTAGTTGAGCCGAACTCTTTTCGGAATTGAACTTGACTTGTTTTATGCAGTTATTTGAGACAAATTCCAGACCTTTTCAAAAATTCCACGCTCTTTCTTAAGAGTTGGGAGAGAGGGGGGGGGGGTGTAGGTTTGCGAAAATTTTGGAGAGCATCCCAAAAATTCCTCGAAGTTTACCAAGCCCGTCGTTCCGAAATAAAAGGTTTCGGGCAGCCATCACGAGAAACGCTCAAAAACCTAAGCTATCATAAACATTATGTTTGACAACTCCAATGTTTTTCATGACCTCTTGTGAATAAGTTCCGCAAGCAAGAAAACGACGCAAAGGCATAAATATGCTCTTCACTTGCAAAAAAGTTATGTCGGAAACAGATGAAAAGGCAAGTCAAATTGACTGCAAAAGATTGCATGAGTTGCAATTCTGGAAATATAATTGCTGAAACATTTATGAAAAAAAAACAAGGTTTGCTTTCCCCTACATCTGCACACAAGAACTTTTTTCAAAGCTTTTGCATCCAAACTTATAATCGCTGTAAGTGAAAAGTTTTTAGCAGCTAATGCGATGAGTATTATTGTATGTTTACCTTCCATCAAGGAGTCTTGGCGAGGAAAGCGAGCACACTAGTCACACTTCAAACTGATAACGTATTTATTCTTTCGACCATCTAATTTAGTATCAGCAAAAATTTGAACTGCACCAGCAAAATTGATGACAAGTACTGCGAAATCTTTTGAAAAAACTCGACTAGGACAGGGATAGTGATAGCGGGGAAAAGTTCAATCCTGTACGCATTTCTCATTATTCAGTAGCATGCAATGCAAAGACAAAATCGCATCTGCGCAGCAAAGTAGGCAAAAATTAAATAGAATCGCATTTAAGATGGGTTACACTTGCCGAACCCTTACCCCTTGTCTGAATGTACCAACCAATGAAGTGACAG